GTGATCCGCGCCGCGTTGGGCGAGGCGTGAGGCCGATAGGAGGAAGGGAGGGACGGAGGAATGAAGTAATGGAAGGAGGAGGCAGAGGAAGAGGAGGAGGAGGAAGAGGAGGAGGAGGAGAAGGAGGAGGAGGAGGAGGATAATGTGGAAGATACTTACGAGCAGGATAAGGAGTAGGTGGAGGAGAAGGAATGAGGGAGGATAACGAAAAGGGTAGGAGGAGCAGTAGCTGGAAGAGGAGGAGGAGGAGGAGGGGGCAGTTTGGAGGAGGGCGATGGGGGAGAAGGAGGAACTGAGGGAGGAGGAGCAGGGAGGGAGGGAGGGGGAGTAGGGGAGGAGGAAGCTGGGAGGGAGGGAGGGAAGGAGGGAGGGATGCGGATGCGGATGCGGATGCGGATGATGATGATGATGATGATGATGATGATGATGATGATGATGATGATGATGATGATGATGATGATGATGATGATGATGATGATGATGATGATGATGATGACGATTATGATAATAATGATGATGCTGCGGATGATGATGCTGATGTTGAGGCTGACGAGGATGATAATGAGGACGAGGGTGAGGATGAGGATGAGGGCGAGGATGATGATGCTGCTGCTGCTGCTGATGATGATGATGATAACAACGATGATGATGCTGCTGCTGATGATGCTGATGCTGATCATGATGATGATGCTGATGCTGATGCTGCTGCTGATGATGATAATGGTAATGATGATGATGAGCATGAGGATGAGGATGATGAGGATGAGGATATTGATGGTGATGACGAGGATGTTGGTGGTGATGCTGATGTTGTTGATGATGCTGATGAAGCTGATGATGATGAGGATGATATTGATGCTGCACATGATAATAATGATAATGCTACGGATACTGATAATGCGGATGATGACGAGGATGTGGATGGTGTTGATGCTGATGATGCTGATGATGCTGATGCTGATGATGCTGATGCTGATGCTGATGTTGCTGATGCTGATGCTGCTGCTGATGGTGCTGCTGATGATGAGGATGGTGATGGTACAGAGGAGGAGGAAGAGGAGGAGCATACACAACTGGAGGAGGAGGAGGAGGAGGATCATCAGGAGGAGGAGGATATGATGGATGTGGACGGGAAGCGGAGGTACTTAGGAGCAGGAGGGGGTTGCAGGCGCAGATCGAGCGATGAGTTTGAGCGGAAGAAGGGGGAGTCTGTGAGGGGAGGGGTGTCCTTTTCTCTTCCCCCTTTATCCCTCAAGACTTTCCCACTCCTCTTTATATCCCACTTCCTCATTCGCTTATAGTTTCTCTTCCCGAGCAGCCTCCCCTTCCTCTCGCTGTTCCTCCTCTTCCTCTTATGCTCCTCTTCTGTCTCCTCTTCGTGCTCGTCTTTCTGTTTCTCCTCCTGTTCCTCTTCCTCTTGTTGATTATCCTATGGGTGCCCCACCTTTCTCCAACTCTCCTTCGTACTGTTTTTTCATCTTCCTCGTATCCTTCCTCTTCATGTTCCCTATCCGGTCCGTGCTCCTATTACTCGCCGCTCCCTGTTTCTTGTGCGTGCTGGTTATGATTTTGTTCATCGTCCTCTTTTTTCGCTGCCTGGTATTCTTCCTCTTCCTCTTCATTTTTATCTTCCGCTCCTGTAACCGCTTTTGCTCCCCTTTACTTTCTTTTGCCATATTCCACATTCTCGTCCTCCTTCCGCTTAATGTTCCTTTCATTCGTCCTGTTGCTCTTCATGCTGATGACCCCCCTCTTCCTTCTCGTCGTCCGCTTCTGAAGAGAACCTCCTGAAGGGGGTGCCTGTGTCGGCCTGAAGGTGGTTTTATGACACAGCGTCACCTTCACACCGATACAGGCGGCGTCAGAGCGACGGCCAGAAAACATGATGTGCCTGACAAGGGTTGAGGAGAAGTGATCGGGGATCAATGGTCGTGGTCTTAGGACATGTCAGGCTCCAGGGGGATGGTGTCGAAGTAGATGGAGTCGGAGATCGCGCCGCATCGCTGGTACAGCGACGACGCGGCGCGATTCGAAGCCTGAGTTTCTTTCCGTCCAGGCGCCGCCGAGGTATCTGCGATGCGGTGCGATCGCTTGACCCATGCACACTGGCCCAATTTCGGCCGCCTCCACCTACTTCGGGCAAATGCAGCGGCCTGCAGAATGAGGATGGGGCGGGCGATGATGTGGATGGGGATGATGAGAATGGGAATGATGAGGATGAGGATGATACTGATAATGAGGACGAGGATGAGGAGAAGGATGATGAGGTTGTTGATGATGATGATGGTAATGATGATGCTGATGATGATAATGATAATGTTACTGAGGATGGTGATGATGATGATGATGATGATGATGATGATGATGATGATGATGATGATGATGATAGGTGATGGGTGATGGTCGATGATGATGTTTATGATGATGCTACTGATGATGATGATGATGATGATGGAGGTGATGGTGGTGGTGGTGATGATAATAGTAGGATGGTGATGATGACGATGATGGTGATGATGATGCTGCTTATGCTGCTGATGCTGCTGATGAGGATACTGCTTCTAATGATGGCTATGATGATGACGACGATAATGATGATGGTGATGATAATGATGATGATCAGGATGATGATGAGTATGATGATAACGAAGCGGATGATGATGCTGATGATGATGACGATGATAAGGATATTGATTATGCTGCTGCTGATGATGATGTGATAAGAATGATAATGATGATGAGGAGGAGGAGCATGATGATGATGATCCTGATGTTGATGATGATGATGGCGATAATTCTGGTGAGGATCATGGTTCCGCTGCTGCTGCAGATGATGATGATGATGGTCAGGATAATGCTGCTGATGATGATAATGTTGATGATGTTGATGAGGATGAGGACGAGGATGAGGACGATGATAACGATGATGATGCTGATGATGATGATGGTGATGATGATGATGATGTTGTTGATGATGTTGATGATGATGATGAGGATGAACATATCGATGATGATGTTGTTGTTGTTGATGATGTGATACGGATGATGATAATGAGGATGATGATGATGATGCTGATGATGATGAGGAGGATAGTTATGCTGTTGGTGAGGATGATCGTTCCGCTTCTGCTACTGCTGCTGTTTTTGATTTTGTTGTTGACTATACTGGTATTGGTGAGGGTAATGCTGCTGCTGATGCTGCTGCTACTGCTTCTGCTGCTGCTGCTGCTGCTGATGATGATGATGATGATGATGATGATGATGATGATGATGATGATGATGATGATGATGATGAGTGATGACTATGATGAATAGATGGACAGGTAATGCCGAGTACCAAAGATGCCCTGGGCGACGGGCTTGCCGCCTGCGTCCCCCGTGCAGGCCGAGGCGGAGTCGGATGAGGGGCTTCTGCGCATGCGTGCTCAGGGGCTCTATGCTTGGACCTAGCGTCTTGTGAGGGAGACTTGAAGCGGTCCAGCTGTACTACGTCGAGGTGCAGCTGCACTACATCGAGGTGTCGTTCCCGGATGGCCTCAGGGGGTGATGTGGGCGAAGCGCGAGCCACTCGAGGAGGACGAGGAGCAGCTGAGCTCGGACGTTCCATGGGCGCAGGCCACGCGGGCACACCGGGGCTGCAGGCCAGAGGCTCTGCGGCACAGGCAGAGCGCGGCCGCAGCCATGCTCGAGCCGGGCGGGTGCGGAATTGCCCCGCGAGCTGGCTCCGAGCATCGGACGATTCGCGGCCGCCCCCGTCCGTTCGAGGGATCTAAATCCCGAGAGCGGACTTCGTGCGCATTGGTTTCAGGGGCCTGCGGAGTCTGCGGCGAGAGATCTCTGAAGCCATGGGAGTCAGACTCCTCGCACGAGCAAGGAAGAGGAGTCAGTCTCCTCGGATGGCTGCGGACGATGCTCGCAGCCGCCCCCCCCCGGCATTGCTGAGGAAGAGAACGGCCTTCCCGCCGTTCGCCCCTGTCTTCCTGTCCCTGTGTGCGTAAGGCGCTTCCGACGCGGCCCGTCGATATCCGACCGCCTGCTGGATCCAGCTCGCCGCAGATCAAACAGGTGTCTCGCAGTCGGATATGACTTCAAACGCCGTGCAGTCCTCTCGGGACAGCACGGGCGCCCTGGCCAGTTTTCCTCCGGGCTTCCCAGTGGGCGTCCGCAGCGGGGCCGGAGTGGGGCGGGCTCGTGCTCGCGCCGCCAGGGCGGCGTGTGCGCGACAGAATTTTGCTGGGAGGCCTGCGCCGCTCGGGGAAGGCGTCCGTCCGACGGCAGCAGCGGTCAGGGACCGAAGGGTCGGCGGCAATACGGTGGCCAGCAGGGTCTAGGCGCTGAGGCGCCTCGGCCGTCGGGACGGTCGCCTGAAGGGAGGAGGAGGAGGAGGAGGAGGAGGAGGAGGAGGAGCAGAGGAGGAGGAGGAGGAGGAGGAGGAGGAGGAGGACGAGAACGAGGACGAGGACGAGGATGCGGATGATGATAGGATGATGATAACGATGGTGATGATGGTGATGCTGATGATGATGCTGATGATAATGATGCTGCTGATGATGATGATGATGATGATGATGATGATGATGATGATGTTGATGATGATGTTGATGATGATGATGATAGTGATGAGGGTTCTGCTAATGATGATGCTGAGGATGATGATAGGGATAACGATGATGTTCTTGTTGGTTAGGGTGATACGTATTATGATGACGAGAAGGATTATGACGAGGATGATGATGCTGATGATGATAAGGATGATGAGGATGATGATTCAGACGATCATGATGATGCTGATGATGATGTCGATGCTGCTGATGATGACGGGTAATGATTGATGATGATGGGTGGTGATGGTGATGATGTTGATGCTGTTGCTGGTTATGGTGGCACGGATTACGATTATGATGATGAGGAGGAAGAGGAAGCTGATGACAAAGATGATGATGATGTTGATGATGATGATGCTCGAAATGCTTACAATGCTGATCATGTTGATGATGATG